CCCCCCCCATTTATAATGCACCTTCTGTCATTTACTGGTAAGCAAAATAAGCAAAAACCAAACAGAGAGATGAAGATCCAGAAAGAACTGCGAAATACCACCAAACAATCATCCAAAAAACCCCAAACACCTGTCCAGCAAACCAGGAGACCAAGTGGGGCTGGTGATCTACCTCTGACCCCTCCGTGATCTAATGGTAGATTGCGATCTACCTGTTGGACATACCTGCAATATAAAAAAGGTAAAGGTTCCCTTGCTCGAAAGCCAGTCGAGTCCGACTCTAGGATTGCGGTGCTCCTCTCCGTTTCAAAGCCGAAGAGCCAGCGCTGTCCGAAGACATTTCCGTGGTCATGTGGCCAGCAGGACTAAACACCAAGGTGCACAGAACGCTGTTACCTTCCCACAGCAAGCCATAATTTGTTAATTAACATGAAACATAAAAACGCTGTTCTGTTTCCTGCAAATCAGGTTTCAAAATCATGATTAAATTAAGAGTTCAGAGTCCTGGTTTGTAGGGAAGAGAGTAAACTTTAGATGCAAATGACCGGGGCTTGCTGTGACAGTGCAGTCTTATAAATAACAAGATGCGTATTTATCTGTGTGTCACCAAGGCACTTCCAATTTATGGTGGCCCTATTGAATCAATGGCCACCAGAATGTCCTATCGTTAACAGCCTTGCTCAGGCCTTGCAGACTGAAGGCCACGGGTCCCTTTATTGTGTCACCATATACATTGGAGCTGCGGTGGCTCAAGTGGTTAAGACGCTGAACTGCAGGCTGTGGAAGGTCGGTAGGTCAGCAGTTCGAAACCCGGGTGCCGCATGACGGAGTGAGCTCCCGTCTCTCGTTCCAGCTCCTGCCAACCTAGCCGTTCGAAAGCAAGAAATTGCAAGTAGATAAATAGGTACCACTTCGGTGGGAAGGTAACAGCGTTCCGTGCGCCTTGGTGTTTAGTCATGCCGGCCACGTGACCACGGAAACGTCTTCGGACAGCGCTGGCTCTTCGGCTTGGAAATGGAGATGAGCACTGCAACCCTAGAGTCGGACTCGACTGGCTTTCGAGCAAGGGAAACCTTTACCTTTATACATGGGCAGCTAGAACCCCATCTTTCTGCTCAAAGGTCACCTAAGGCTGCTTAGCATAATATAGGTACACACTGCAATGCAGTAAAAAAAAAAACCAAACGACAAATCACTGCTTTAATGAAGAATAAACTCTCACGAACACTGCTAAAAAGACAAGTCTTGAAGATCTTTCTAATACCCATACAAAAAGGTTCTTGTGGCAGACCCACCTCTGGGAGGCTATTCTGTAACCCTCAGGCCACACACACACACACAGAGCTTTGTCGCTCTCTGAGGATATTCTGCAAAGATGGTCTTTCTTCATTTGCTGCCCTTAAAGGGGTGGAAGGGAGCAGACATTATGATCTTTTATCAACTTTAGGTAAAGGTTTCCCTTGCTCGAAAGCCTGTCGAATCCGACTCTAGGGATGCGGTGCTCCTCTCCGTTTCCAAGCCGAAGAGCTGGCGCTGTCCGAAGACGTTTCCGTGGTCTCGTGGCCGGCATGACTAAACGCCGAGGCACACGGAACGCCGTCACCTTCCCGCCGAAGCAGTGCCTGTTTATCTACTCGCAGTTTCTTACTTTCGAACTGCTAGGTTGGCAGGAGCTGGAACTAGAGACGGGAGTTAGGCTGTGACAAAAAGACTCTTTGCCGCTTTGCAGAATTTTGTTTCCGTTCAGTTTCTTATACAACTGTGTTGTCTTTGCCCAAGCCTTGGAGCGAGGCCTTTTGAAAACTCTGCAGAAGCTGGATGACTACCTGAACGCTCCTCTCCCTGACGAGATCGACGAGAACAGCATGGAGGACGTCTTGGTTTCCAACCGCAAGTTTCTTGACGGTGACGAGATGACTCTAGCAGATTGCAACCTGTTGCCGAAGCTACATATTGTTAAAGTAAGTGTGATCTGAAGCGCGAGGTCTGGTTCATGAAAGCCTGCTTTGAATCCAACCTGCAGCTGAATGTGTGAACTCTCCGGTGAAACGTATTGTAAACTGGGTGATGCGGAACTCTGATTAGGCTGCAGAAGCACACCATTGGGTGAACCAGTCCCAAGTGTAGGCTATGTGGCAGTTTGGTGTCGTGGTTAAGTGGGCGGACTCTGATCTGGGAGAACCGTGTTTGATTCCCCACTCCTCCACTTGCAGCTGCTGGATGACCTCGGGCAAGTCATAGTTCTGTCAGAGCTGCTCTTGAAAGATCACTTCTCTCAGAGCTCTCTTAGCCCCACCTACCTCACAGGGTGTCTGTGGTGGGGAGGGGAAGGGAAAAGGAGTTTGTAAACTGCTCTGAGACGCCTTTGAGTAGTGAAGGGCGGGGTATGAATCCAATCTCCTCCTCCTCTTTCTGAGAGCCAGTTTGGTGTAGTGGTTAAGTGCGCAGACTCTAATCTGGGAGAAATGGGTTTGATTCCCCACTCCTCCACTTGCACCTGGCTGGCTGGCCTTGGGCAAGCCGTAGTTCTGACAAGAGCTGTCCTTGAAAAAGAGCAGTTTCTGTCAAGAGCTCTCTCAGCCCCGCCTACCTCCCAGGGTGTCTGTTGTGGGGAGAAGAAGAAGAGAAGGATTTATACCCCGTCCTTCACTTGGAGTCTCAGAGCAGCTGACAAACTCCTTTCCCTTTCCCTCCCTACAACAGACACCCTGGGAGGTGGGTGGGGCTGAGATAACTCTGACACAAACTGCTCTTTTTCAAGGACAGCTGTGCCAGAGCTTGTGACTGACCCAAGGTCACATCAGCAGGTGCAAGTGGAGGAGTGGGGAATCAAACCCGGTTCTCCCAGATTAGAGTCCGCGGACTTAACCACTACACCAAACTGGCTCTCTGAGAGAACAGCTCTGAGAGAACTATAGCTTGCCCAAGGTCATCCAGTAGCTATAATTGGAAGAGTGAGGAATCAAACCCGGTTCTCCCAGATTAGAGTCCACGCACTTAACCACTACACCAAACTGGGAGGGGAAGGGAAAGGAGTTTGTAAGCCGCTCTGAGACACCTTTGGGTAGTGAAAGGCAGGGTATAAATCCAATCTCTTCTCTTCTTCTTCTTCAGTTTGCCCCAAGACTGTAAGAGAAAAACAGATCCAGCAAGTATATTGACTGCAAGCAGTTGGAATTTGAGACTCCCTGGAGAAGGGTCCATTTAGAGGCTTTTGGAGGGAATTGTTGTTATGGAGTTTTCTTCTTGCTTTTATTGTGTCCCCCTCCCCCAGTCCCTGGCAAACTGAAACCTGATTCTCCTTTGCCTATCAGCAAATCCACTATACACTGGCACGAGGAGGTCTTAACACTGTGACCTGAAAAATCTGCTTTAAATTTCTTCCCCCGCCCCTGCTTTGTAACATCTGACCTGATGAAGGGTTCTGGGAACCCAAAAGCTTGTGTGTCATTGGGTTAGTCCTAATAAAAAGTCCTACATGACTTTCTTGGCTTTTTGGACTTCACTTTTGGATCAACATGGCTGTAAACAACTTGAGACGTAGCCTGTGGTTGCCTCCCGGAAGGGGAGTTCTAGGCTAGTTCAGAAAAGCAGGGACGTGAAGCCAGAGTGTCACACCGCCTGGTGTATTGTATGTATGTCAGAATCCTGGTTAAATCAGTTCTCAACTCCACTCACTTCGAAGAAAGTTTAGTATATTGAGACATTGAAGAAATACCATACTGAACACAAGCTTTGTAAGGCCTGGAGGTGAAAGTGCAGAGATTGCAGATGTGCTGTGTTCAAGCAAAGGCACTAAAGATCAGGACCCAGTGTTCCCTCTAAGCTGAGTGAGTGTGAGCTAGTGCACAGTTTTTTAGCCTCTGGCTCACACGTTTTTGTCTCAGCTCAGGAAGGAGGGCTCCAGAGCGAACTGATTTATGCAGCAGCCAAATCGCTCGCTCACAACTTTAATGCCAGGAGCTCACAAAGTAGAATTTTTGCTCACAAGACTCCACAGCTTAGAGGGAACATGGATCAGGACCCAGTCACCCCATGGCATCTGCCCGCCAGAAGTAACGGTCAACTACCCCACCCAACCACCAAGCACATACCCCTCTACAGAAATAAAGCAAAACAACAAGTCTCTGCAACACAGTGCCTGATACATCAAAGCATTTGGTATTCACACCCCGCTTCCCCTCCTGCTTTCTCTGTGGCAGGTGAACCATAAAATGCACACTGAGCCTGACACTGTATTTTGTGAGAGCCAGCTTGGTGTAGTGGTTAAGAGCAGCAGGACTCTAATCTGGAGAGCCAGTTTTGATTCAGCCAGCTGGTTGACCCTGGGTCAGTCACCAGTTCTCTCAGAGCTCTCTCAGCCCCACCTTCCTCACAAGGTGCCTGTTGTGGGGAGAGGAAGTGAAGGTGATTGTAAGCCACCCCGAGACGTCTTGAAGTAGTGAAGGGGGGGCATAAAACCAACTCCTTTTCCTCTTCTTCTCCCTCCTCCCCTTCCCCTTCTTCTTCTTCTCTGTGCTTCCTCTTGGTTGCACATGGACTTGGAAGGAGCATAAGCCCCCTCCCCATAGTCACAGCTGCCCATGTTATCTCCCCAAGTACCTCTGCCCTCTCTCTTAAAAGAAGCCAGTCTTCTGCTTGAACAAGCCGAGAATGCGTGTCTTTTAGAGGTGGTGTCGCCATTAGGCAGCCATTCTTAGATGTCAAGATTTGAGCTTCATTAAGAGTGGAGCTGCGGTGGCTCAAGTAGTTAAGACGCTGAACTGCAGGCCGGAAGGTCGGTAGTTCAGCAGTTCGAGACCCAAGTGCCGCGTGACGGAGTGAGCTCCCAGCTCCTGCCGACCTAACGGTTCGAAAGCAAGAAACTGCAAGTAGATAAATAGGTACCGCTTCGGTGGGAAGGTAACAGCGTTCCGTGCGCTTCGGCGTTTAGTCATGCCGGCCACGTGACCAGGGAAGCGTCTTCGGACAGCGCCGGCTCTTCGGCTTGGAAACGGAGATGAGCACCGCAACCCTAGAGTCGGATTCGACTGGCTTTCGAGCAAGGGAAACCTTTACCCTTTACTTTTTAAGGGCGGAGGAAAATTTGCCTCTGGAATAAAAGTGGGGAAAGTCAGATCTCTCCCCCGGTGGGCACGAAGCCCCATGGATTTTTCTTGCCTTTTCCAAAGCGATAGGCTGGTGCCGTTGCACAGGACCACTTCCGTTTGCGTGGCATTTGTGCAGGGCATTTTCCTTGTGAATTATGTCTCGTGTCAGAATATCTGGGGTGCTCTCTGGATTTTCCATTCCAGGTGCCCAAATCCGTTGGACCAGCCCTGGACTACTCAAGCTCATTCTTCCCTTTTTGTGCTTCCAGGTTGTGGCCAAAAAGTATCGCAACTTCGATATTCCCAAGTCCATGACAGGGATATGGAGGTACCTGACCAACGCCTACAGCCGTGATGAGTTTACCAA